TTTTTACTATAAATGCATAAATTAGCTACCATGAAAAACCGACAACTGCAGTTATCTGTTGTATTTAAACAATACCCCATTGTTTTAACTAAAAATTTATATATATTTTTTTTAAATAGCTAACGCTCGTTGCAGTTATGTATTAAAATATTTTCATTTATTTATTTTTTTATGAGAAAACGTATATACAAACAGTTAGTTGCAGTAATTCTTGAAAATGCAATTTTAATTATTATTGTTCAATATTCTTTTAAGTCATTTGTTAAAGGTTCTTATTTGTTTATACGATTCAGGTTCAACACAACATTCAATAACTAAAACAAGTTTTATAATTAGCACAATAGTTATATTATTTGTAAAGCTACTACTATGGGATGATTTTAAGATATCATATTTTTGTTGATTTCGTAATCTCCAGATAACATTACACTACACTTTTTTCGACAGTTATAATTCATTGATTATAAATTTATTTATTTTTATCAACAAAACTTTATTTGTTATAAATATTTACAACCTGTTATACACAATAAAAAATATTTTAAATATGTTATAAGAATTCATTATATGCTACATGTTTTTTTTTAGCAATAATTTAAGATATTTATTGTTAATATTAAATATTAACGACTAAAAGCTTAATTTGTCTGTATATTGATTATTAGACATTTCAATCTTTAAATTATATTTATGGGCGTTAAATATTAAAAATAATATTCTATTTATGAAAAATAAATCCATGATGAATAATCCAAAAATCGACTTTTAACAGAACATTTGAATTCTTCAATTCAGTTAAACAGATAGTCATAAATGTAGAATCGATATAATCGTGTAATATAAGAAATACAATAAAAAAGATGCCTAAGAATTAGAATGTACTAGTGATACATACTTATAAGCATAACTAAATAATTACGCTCAGGTAACTTATTTTTTATTCAACTTGATTAATAAATTAATTTATTAAAATGAAAGAATAAATCGAATGCATAGCATATAATAGTAATTTATATCTTTGTAGTACCTCACTTTTGTTGTCCTGTAGTACCTCCTCTCATTTTAGCTGTGTAGTAGAAGCTGAGTAAGAGTGGTAGGTATAGCTACTTCAGAGTATAAATAACAGTCATAAAACTAATAAGTTGATTTTCCACTCTAAGTTTCTCACAAATTATTTCTGAGTTTCTATTTACTTTTCTTTTAATTGGTGTTTATACATAACACAATAATATGATAATTTTAAAACCCCTTTTTCCTTATATCTATTTTCTTTTTTTATTGAGTGTGATATATAATTTCGGTGATGCTGCTGAAGACTTACAAAGCCAATCAAAAGGTAATCTTTTTTTTAGATTAACAAATTAAGTTTTTTTAGTAATGATAAAATTAAAAAAAACTTCATCAATTTTTAGTTCAATATAATATTTTATAAAACATTGTTATTATTATGAGTTTTAATAACAC